GCGTCAAAGCGTCGAGCCGTGGAAGGCTGCAGCTGGTGGATGTGTTGCCTGAGCTGTTCCTAGCCAGCCCATATCCCTGATCAACTTGCGCAGGGGTGACGGCTTTGGCAGCAGGTAGGTGCTGTCTTGGAAAGATGCTTTGTACAACACAGACGGGTGCATTGTTTAACCCTGTGCAAACAAAGGCATGGATAAAGTCTTTACTGCAGGAAATGCACGTCGCTTTTGTGCAGGTGACCACAACAGGGACACTGCATATCCACATTGTTCCCGAGAGGTCTCCGTCTTTCGGCTGTGCCTAACCACAGCTCCAAAAGTGAGATTTCTTGCCGAGCTGTGCATCCTGATGAAACGATTCTCTTAGACAGATGCGGGAAACGGGAGCAGAACAGAATCGCATTTCTCTCGGCACTTGCCAGGGCAGTTGTGCAGGCTAACTGTGTGGGTTCTCAGCAACTCTTACCTGGCATGTGATACACCATCCTCGGATGGGGAACATTCCTGGAGAAGTAGTATGCTGCCTCTGAGCAGCTGGACTGAGAGGAACGCCGACTGTTCTGCCACATGTGGTCATACAGCGACTTTGACGCTGATATTCATGGCGTGACCTTGCTTACTCTACCGCAGAGTGTCTCCCTGCAGGAGCAGGTTGGCGTGCCAGAAGCCAAATGCTGCTGGAACTGAAGCAAAGAACGCAGATTGACAGAGACAGAAAGGTAGCGGAAACTTGGATTAGTCTTTGTCTTGTAACCACTCTAAGTGTTAGCTTTCCAGCTTTACTGAGGCCTGTGTGTGCAGAGAGGCAGTCCCATGTCTCCAACAGATATTCTGTATCCCAGCAGGCGCTTGGTATCTCTTCTAGGTTTTGGTTTTAACATTTGAATAATAGACTAGTTTTATCATGAACATGGGGTTTTTTCCTTCCCTGCAGTAGAAGACGCTAATGATCACAGTGTTCTTTGCCTCTGGCACTTGCTTAGGATACTCAGTGCCATCACTTGTAAGAGTGGTGTGCTGCTTTTAGTCAGCACAGAGTTAACTTTACAGTGGCTGGTAGGAAGCCGGGTTTCTGCACTTACCCTGAGAAAAGTACTGATAAGGTGTCTTGAGCTGGTGCTGGGGAGCGCTTGCACCAATTCAAGGTCTCTCTCAGCTTCTGATACTGCAGCGGCATTCCCAACTTTCTCACTACGGGCAGCATGGAGGAACGTGGAGTTCAGACAGCTAACTGACCCAAGCTGCCCAAGGAAGCATTTCATTCCATAGCACGTCATCCTTAGTACATAAGCTAGGGGTGGGCTCAGCAGCCATCAAACTTTCACTTTCCTACAAACTCTCTAATGCAAAGGCAAGGTCAGTGTTTGCCCCCCATGATTTCAGTGCTCCGCACATTTCAGTGCATGAGGAGGCACAGTGGAATCTACAGTTCATAAAAGTGCTTTGAGCTTGGGGCAAGCCTTTTTTCTTATTTTTAAATAATAAAGTCAGTTATTTTATGAGTTTGTGTTTTGGTTTTTTATTTTAAAAACAAAAATTTAAAGGAAATATTTTAGTGGATAGAAGTTATGAGATTGCAAAAAAGCTGTGGAATAATGGATTACTCAGCATAGTGAATTCAAAGTAGGAAAGAAACTTTGTGATTGGTGTATTTTCAAGGAGGGTTGTGACTCCGCCTGAACTGGCGTGGATGTACAGGATTACACTCAACTTCGACTTTGTTATTTTCACCACCTTCAGTAATGCCTAACTGGTCTGCAGAGCAAGATGAAAGCTTAATTGATTTCTGATTCCCTGCCACAGGAAAGGAAATTCTTGCTTTGTTTTTACGGATGCAAATTCTAAACAGTCTAGTTTTACGTTAGCTAACCTGGCATGTTCACTACAGATGGCAGACACCATTTTCCTCTTGGAGCTACTGTGCTGTGGTTTCAAAGACCGTGCTTTCCATCTAGTTTAATACCCACGTTAAATGCATGCTGATCAAAACATTTTTTTGGGACTGTTGTCCATCAGACATCTGTCTACTCAAAGATTGCTTTAAAGGCTGTGGAAAGAATGCCTCTCTGCCATTAAACTCTTCTGTCTGTACTGTCACAGTAGTCTATCCTAGCTTTCACCTATTCTACACACAAACAAACTCCAAAATGTATCAGCAGCAAAATTCATCAGAGATTAAAAGAGTAAGATAGCGTAAGAATACAGAAATAGGGCTTCGTAGGAAATTCTTTGTATGTGGTGTCTAGTTTTGCTTGCCTATCAGTACATAATAAAAATTTAAAAAATCTGTATCTCCTGCTGTAGAAAGTAAAAATAAGTATGTCCTGATATTGGTTGTAGTGGATTGATTGAAGAATTGACAAGAAAAAATTGAAAATTGACAAGAAAATTTGTCTAACATCCTGACTGCGTTTGTATTTCTCAGCCAACTCTTACAACGTTGATTCCCCAACGATAACTTTAACTGGGAGAGAAGCTTTTCCAAAACCCTATGATTTTTTTAACTGTGTAGCACTAACTACAAAATACTTTAAAACGAAATGCAGCAATACCACAAACGATCGGACATTTGGCAGTAAGATGTTACAAACTAGTACATGCCTTTGAATATTGTAAACAGTATCACCTGAGAAGCAGCACTGTAGAGAACCTTCCTTCTTCGCAGGGTACCGGGCTAGTGGCACCTTTTTTCTGGCTACAGCAAGTATTCAGCTGTAGAAGGGATCCATGAGTTTCCTTGGGTAGGGGTTTCCAGCAGAGCGAGCAGCTGCCTGGCTTGTCTGCTCAGCCAAGCAACTGAGGTAGACAAAGGGCTGGTAGGGTGGGGCACCCCTCTAGAGCCTCTCCTGCTCTTTGTCACATCTCCAAGTTGCGTGTTGCCATGGCAGCAGTGCAGCATGTCTTTGGCCTGTCCTTAGCAGAAGGAAGAGCTTATGTACCTCCACTTCATCCTGTATGGTTTTAGCACTCTTTAACGGGGAAAGAATCTTCATGACCAGAACTGACTGATTGTGTTGTGATTGGGGACATAAAAAAAAAAAAAAAAAAAGACCGTGTACAGGACTGTACAATTGCCTGACAGTGGGGTTTCGTGTTCAAGAAAATTCACACTTTTAGACAAGACTTTAAGGATTAAGGATGTTTTTTTCTAGAGTACAAGTGCAGTGCTAGGCAGTCTAACGAACCTGAAGGTGTACAAGTGATGGGATGAGATGCACCCATGGGTCCTGAGGGAACTCATGAATGGAGTTGCTAAGCCACTACCCATCATACTTGGGAAGTCAGGGCAATCCAGTAAAGTTCCCACTGGCTGGAAAAGGGGAAACACAAATCTCATTTTTAAAAAGGGAAATAGGGAGGACCCTATACCATCTATTTCATCTACTTACCCCAGCTAACCAAACACAGTATACAAATCAGTGTGGCTCAGCTGATAAAGGCACTTCAGTTGCTTCTGGTTGTCTGTTGAGATGCTCAGGAAAATTAGAATGTTTGTTTGTTTTGAGTGTTCACACACACTCTGCAACAGGCACTAGTGGTAGCAGGTTTTGAGGTCACAGGAATGCTTGTCATTCACTGCTTTTAAGAAACCTTTGAGCAGAAACAGAGTAGAATGCATTCATTAAAATAGTAACTACCACACCCAAGTCGGTATGCGTAAAAAAAAAAAAAAAAAGAAAAAAAGAAAAAATAGCTTCCTTGGGAAACAAAGTAAATTCTGCATTTGCCATCAATTTATTTTTTTTAAAGCTACTAGTACGGAACTTTCAGGATAAAAACCTGCATTTATCTTTACCCTTAATGTCCGGAAACAGCTCTGGGCCAACTATGGAACAACCAAGCATAACAAGAGTTTCATCTTTCCCATCTTCTCCTCCTGAAGCCTAGTTGCTGTCTGAGTCATTGTCTTCATCTTCTTTTCCAGACAGAGCATGTTTGGATAAATCACTGGCTTCTCTCAAAGGAACAGCCCCTTTCCGTTGTGGCAAGACACTGAAAAAGGCATCCTTCCAGTCTCTCTTCTCTAGGTATGCAAGGATGATCTCAAACACTGCAATATCAAGAAAGACTGTCAGCTCTTTTACAGAGACCTAAGTGAACTGCTGATGGGAACACCCCCCTCCAGATCTATCTTTACGTAGGTTTACAGGCATTTAGTTGTGGTATCTTGAGAGTAAAGCTGACGAAGTACAGGCAGAAGCAGACAAGGCAATTCTGCTACTGCTGCAGCCTAAAGCCAAGCACACGTTGATTCTCTAGTTTTAAGGCAAATGCTCTGGTTGCAGAGGAAGTGCACAGCAGCGCTCTGGGAACACCCCCCTCCAGATCTATCTTTACGTAGGTTTACAGGCATTTAGTTGTGGTATCTTGAGAGTAAAGCTGACGAAGTACAGGCAGAAGCAGACAAGGCAATTCTGCTACTGCTGCAGCCTAAAGCCAAGCACACGTTGATTCTCTAGTTTTAAGGCAAATGCTCTGGTTGCAGAGGAAGTGCACAGCAGCGCTCTACTCAGGGACACAGAGAAATGTCGCCCCAGTACTTCACGTCTCACCAGAGCCTTCTATACAGGCATTAATGTTTTCTGTTGTTTCACAGGAAAACTGTTGTGGATTTACTCTAACAATGACTTTGTTCCCTCCCTAAGGCCCGCTACAGTTACCTTTCTCTTTAATTTCCACCTGAGTAGAATCCATATTAGTCTCCAATTCTGTGACCTTTTCTTGCTGTTTCTATTATGCTAACCACACAGTCACCCTACTTATCTTTCCGCTCCCAAAAACTTTCCCCGATTGACAACAGCTCCAAACTGCATTATGTGCAAAATCAATCAGCAAATTCTTATTTAAAAAAACCCTAGGCTATGCAAAAAACTCTCAACACAGACTGTGGCTCAGCAGCAGCAAGAAAGGTGGGACGAGGCCCTATGGCTAGTAAGCCAGACTTGGATGACAAATCTGGGGCAGAGGGGTGGCTCCTCAAGCATGGGGCTACAGAAATAGTGCTAACACTGCCGGAGAATGCCGACTTCCAAGAATGCATCCAGCACAAGTGTTCTCGATGCCAAGCGACAGCATATGAGAAAGGATCAGAGGAGCTCTGGAGGAAAAAAAGCCTGACTGAGAGTTAGGCAGGCATTCAGAGAGGGAGGAGCAGCAGGGATCTCATACTCAGTGTCAGGTTACAGAAAAGTGTCACATTTACTAGAGGTTTCCTGCATCCAGGTTTACTGGACCAGCAGCTACTCTCTCTGACACTAATATTGAAGAGCTAGCCATTTGACTAAGCAGGTTATTCACCTGAAACATCCTCTGAAGGTATAAGCTCTCAAAGTACTATAGTAATATCATGATAAGTTACTGCAGAAGGCATCTCTGGCAAAGAGGCTGGCTTAAGAGACAAGAAGAATCTAATGAGCATGTTTCTTCTCCTTTGCTTTGGAACTTCCTTTATCTGCACAGTAAAACCAGAACTGATTGGAAGAGAGTGGCTACCACAGGAGAAGAGAGGCTCCTATGATGGGCTGCAATAGCAACAAAAATATTATGCAAGGACAGAAAAAGGCAGTGGGAACAGCTGGCAGATGTCACTGCAGACTGGGATGGACCACTGTGGTCCTGCAACACACCTACACGAAAATTATAACATGAGATTTAAGAGGTATCTTGATTCTGCCCACCTTACCCATGCCAAGTAGCAACTCACTTGAAAGCTGTCTTTTGGTATTTAAGTTGGAAGCTATTAAGGTTAAAATCTACAACAGAGCCTTAATTACAGCTGTTAAAGGTACCTCTGCTTTTGGTGGTGGTTGAGTTGTGTTTATTTTCCTGCCCAAATTATTTCATAGAATAGTTTAAGTTGGAAAAGACCTTTAAGACCATCAAGTCCAACTGTTAACCCAGCACTGCCAAGTCCACCACTAAACCATGTCCCTGAGCACCACATCTACACATCTTCTGTTACTTGAGAGAAGAGACCAACCCTCACCTTGCTACACCCTCCTTTCAGGGAGCTGTAGAGAGCCATAAGGTCTCCCCTCAGCCTCCTCTTCTCCAGGCTGAACACCCCCCAGCTCCCTCAGCCGCTCCTCACAGGACTTGTGCTCCAGACCCTTCCCCAGCTCCGCTGTCCTTCTCTAGACATGCTCCAGCACCTCAGTGTCTTTCTTGCAGTGCGGGACCCAAAAACAAATACAGAATTCGAGGTGTGGCCCCACCAGTGCCCAGCACAGGGGGACAATCACTGCCCTGGTCTTGCAGGCCACACTATTTCAGATACAAGCCCAGACGATGTTGGCGTTTGGTATCACCTTTACGTCTAAAAAGTGTCTGTGTATTAAGAGCCTTTCAGTTGCAATTTGAAAAATTTTTAGAAGGGCATGGGAAGACAGGCTCACACAAAATGAAATCTCGGCAACTAAACTGCAGTGAAATCAGGTGTCTAAAAACGTGGCACAAGAAACCTGCACAAGACCATAATGCAGATAGATGAAAGTCTCAGTGTGAGTGATCCAATTCATAGACAGTGCTCAAATATGTAGGAGACAGCCTCCAGACATGTTGCCACTAGAGGTCAGTGTAAGACTGTTGCAGAAAAGCTCCAGCAGAAAGCTCCTGCTATCATAACTTTGGATGAGTAACTCATGAAGTTTATTCTTGTCTCTATAAAGCTATATTTAAAGATCAAGTTTTAAAAACGTAAAATCTTACAAAGATTTGGGGTTTGTTAAGTTTTAATTCCAGTGATATGCTATATTCTCCTCCATGTTTAAATAATCTTTGTTATCACGCAAATACAAATCTCACCAATCAAGAACATAAGAAAATAAAGTTATCATCTAGCGATGTGTTACATAATAGAGTAAACTAGAAATAAAGCAAGGTGAGATAAAACAAAAGAACCTGCAGTGAGGCAAAATAAAGACTTGGACACCATGTCAAAAATCTCCATAAAGGTCTGAGTAGGCTTTATTTTGCATGTTTTTGTTTCATGACATTGAAAGACAGTCTAATAATGAAACTGAAATTTTAAGAAGAGTGGGATTCAAGACTTGGTTAAGCAACTGTAGACTTCAGTCACAACCAGGAAACGAGGTAAACACACAGGTATGAAAGCTCAGCAGCTGGAGTACTGCCGATACAAAACGCAGCGGGTAGCTAAGCTATCCAAAGTGGTGAAAACATCACCTATGTTTATCCTCCCCTGGAATAAAACACATGGGATGGTTTCCAACATTTTACTCAATTACACATTAAGATTAGAATTAAACCTAGAGGTATACTTCTAAAGGGCTAAGAAACCATCCTTGACGTTTCACCATACCTGAAATGTTTAAAGGTCAGGGCAATTACTGTATCCCAAAGACAACTAGATTCAAGAGATAGCAACATAATAAAAGTAACGACGAGGTATCATTGATCACACTACAGTGTGCATTTTGAAGATTCAAATTCTGAATATCACAGGTATATTCTATAACAATGCCATTATTTTGTGATTTAAAACTTACCATGATTGACAGCTAACACTTTCCGACTGTTCATCTTGACAAAGTTTCCAAGCGGGAGCTGTGCATGACCAACTCCCTGCTCTACAGCTTTTTTGTAAGTAATTCCCTGTGGGAAAGACAGCAAAGCATCCAGACTGAGAATCACCATTTCAGATCCGCCCACGCAGATTACTACAAGTATCATTTTCTGGCAAGAGTCTTGCCAGTGCTGCCGTGATCTTGCTTTAGAAGATACTTCCAGAAAGAAATTACCCTGGTTAGACAACACCTGCTTCAAGGGCAACTCCTGTGCCCAAGATGGGCTGAAAACCCCCTTTAACATTGTGTAAATACTTCATAACATAATGACTAGATAAAGGATCTGCTTTAGCTTTCTCCTAGCCTTTAACTGTGGACCTACCACTAAAGGATCATTTGGTAAGGCTTAAGATCCATCCCTTTTTTTAGCATCACACTGAAATATTAAACATGTCACCAGAAACTACATAGGAGTGTCTTTGAAGAAAAGCAGTTAACAGTGCTTTAATTTCCCAGCCACATTCTCTATGTCTCTACGACATTCCAGGTAGCAATCCCACAGCACGATCCCACGTACAGGTATGGAACCAGATCCCTGAGACACATGTGTAACTCAGTCAAGTTCTCCTGACAAGCAAACTTATTAAAAAAGGACATCCAAGATGCAAGTGCTGTTCTTCATCTATATTTGGGCATGTGCATACACACACAAGTGCATGAACAGAAACCAAACCCTGCTGTCCGAAAATATGGCCCTCAGTAAGCCGAGCAGTGTTACTAATTCCATTCCTATATTTAAAATGAAAAGATAAAAATCCTAAAAAGCTCAGCACATCTGCACTCTGGAACACAAGCCACTACAATTTTTTTTTTTCCCCCTTTTTTTTTCCCCCCATTTCTTCAGGTTGTTGGGTTTGTTTGTTTTTTTAAAGTAAATCGCTTTTGAATAAGTTTTCTTGGTATCTGTTAGTTTACACACGAACAGCGCTAATGTCAAATAAGGTGCCAAGAAAAAACAAAACAAAACAAAACAAACACCAAGAAAACCCAACAAAAACTGCGAAGAAACAGACCCACAGTTCCACAGTTTACCTTGTGGTGATTGTGATCCACCAGCCCTCCAATCACATAGGCTTTCTTCTCATCAAGCTCACTGAGAACGTTCGGGGAATCTGAGGTAAGATAGACCAGGTCTTCTTTCTTTATTAGCTCACTGTAGTGCTCTGCTCTAATTTGGATATCCTCAAAAAAAGGTAGTTAAGAGAAGTTACATTCAACTGATGAATTGCTGGGCAAGCTTTACAGACCCAAGGCAGAACCATCAACCGTCAATCCAACGGTATGCAGGCATTCTGCATCCCTCATTCATGTTTAAGCACATAGCCCAGTGCAGATTGACTTCTGCATAGAAGATCCGTGGTCCTTACAGCACTGACGTGTAAAAATCATCAGGAAGTTTTATGAAACCCCAAAAGAACTTTACAAATCCTTAAGTTCTTGTGATTTCCATCAAATGTTACCATGTTGCTGAAACCTGAGGTAACCGCTCAGTTAACACTACTTGTTTGATAAAAGGGGTTTATTGCAAAGCAACTATAGCATGAGACACCCTGACAGTAGAACTGTTTTTAATTATGCACAGTTCTCTTCATTCAATGGTCTTGGAATACTGGTTTAACAGGGAATCACTAGGAAAACCAACATGAGTTTGAGCACGGAACAAATTACTTCTCTAAAGGACACTTCACTGTTGAGAGGCAGCGTAATGGAAGAGAAGGTGCACACAACAGAATCACATCATGATGTCAAAGTCTCATTTTTTGCCAAGAACAAAAGAACACTGTCAAGACTGAAGACTTTCAAACTGCCTAAATCAAGTAGTTTTGCTTAGCCTATCAAAGAATGGAATCTGTTCAACAAAAACAGGTGAAACAGATGTGTGCAGAGTTTTGAAGCAAAATCAAATCTACATTCAAGACAAGCAGTCTTTGGCTTATTTAAGTTTAATTAATTAAGAACAAAGAGCCACACTATTTCTAATATGCTACTGCTCTGATGTCTTACGAAAAACCCACGTGGAAAAAGCACAGGTCCTTCACAACTAACAATCTGGGTAGCAACCGTAATCAAGATTTCTTTTTCCCTTTTTACAGAAATAGTCAATTATTCACCTTCCAGTTCACCCATCCTTTATCATTTTCATTCATGTTGCTCTTCAACTGTCCCCCGTGGCTGGTCAAGTAAAACTTAGAAAAGAACAAACAGGAGGTACAACATACTGAAATGTTAATACACCAATCTGTTTCCTCTCTGTATAAGACTTTTTCTACCCTTCACTGTTAGCTAAAGCTTTTAATTATTTTTTAGCTGAAAGTGGTACAAAGACCATATTCATGAAGTTAGTGACACATTGAAGAGACAAATACACACTTACAGTCACTTTTTTTTACTCTGTCACAGATAAAACTCATTATCAAGAGTATTTTAGTGGCACACCAGTATTTGTCACTCTTATCTGCATGCACATACTTTTTCATATATTAAAGGGATTTTTATAACACCTGGGTTGAAAAATCAATTACACTAGACACAGTTTTCTTATTAAAAGAAGGCAGTTCTCAGTTTGTTTAAACGTACCTGAACAGGATGAAATGCTTTGCGGTTTTCTGAATAGCATCTCTGAATTTGCTTGTGAAGCTTCTTAACATCCTGTATACAACATAATTTGTTTTTACATAGTCCTTCAGACAGACCACCATAAAATGCTTTACCATGAGCCAGTCAGAAGCTAAAGAGAGAAAAAGGAAGCTTTTAACTGGCAAAAGTGGCTACTGAGAGAGTGTGGACATCAGACCCTGGGAGAAAAAAACACTCATTGTAAAGGGATTATGTTGAAAAGGAAGCACATGCATCTTCCACGAAAGTGTATTTAGACACCTCTACATACGTGCTTGATTTGCATTATTCTAGGAAACCAGCATCACTGGGATTTAATTATATGCAGTAATAACAGTCAAAATTAATCTGAGGAATTTATCACTGTGACAGTGCTCAGTCTTTCACCCATGGGAAAACCCTGAGAACGTACAGTTTATATTTAAGAAAGTCAAATATGCATAATAAACCTGAAGAACTCCAGAACAATACAAGTAATATAGTGGCTAGCTCTGGCATTTTGACCTGACAATTTGGACAACAGTTACTAGTACTACTCAAAATGCAGCAGACTTAATATTTAGCCAATTTTATTTTTTAGAAGGTACACTAGAGAGCCTTATTCTCAGTGCTCCAAAAGCATTGTTTTGTAAATAAAACTGACTGATATTTTAAAATGAAATATCATTATATTACTTTGATTCTTGTAGTGTTTTGAGAATGTTTTGATATATCCAAAGGATTTCAAGTAAACTAGACTTTAGCACTGCAGTACTGCAATGTAAGTTTCTATAGGCAGTAGAGAAAGTGCCTAACTAACTCCACTGCTAAAGGCCACAACCATCTTCACTTACAATGCTTCAGCTGTCCTAAGCACCTGCAGAAGTGCCAGTTTTTATACCAGGCCTGACAGAGGCTCTGCCTGACCAAGGATAAACCTCAGCACG